TTATTCCTTTCTGAAAATTAATGCAGTTTTAAAAATATTTAGTGCCACAGGACAACTAAGTTCATTATATGCAAGGGCAGCAAGGAGGCCTATAAGCAGTGCCAATATTTTCCTCACAATAGACTCTGAATGTTTTCAAGCCATTGTAGAGACCTTGGTTGGGTTTCTAGAATTCTTCTTAATAGTGGAGGATGTCTGGTGACCATGTGTCCTGGACTTTCTTGGGAATGCCCAATTCCATGTAATTTAATTCCATTTTAGAAAGGTGATTTAATCCATGTTTAATTAAATTCATTTGAATTTTTATAGCTTTGAATGATTTTTCAAATACATAAATTCACGAATCAAAATAAAAAGTCTTTTGTCAGATTGTGTTCTAGCTTTTGATTCTGAAAATGTGGTCCTAGTAATGGCAAAGGCATCTTAGGGATGAAGACTTTGGGGGTGAGGGGGTGACTGTTACTGTCAGGAATAAATAACTTATAGATCCAATCTCTTAAAATTCTTCCTTTATCATAGGTGATTTTTAAAATGTGTATCAGTTAGCTCTTGCTGTATAACAAATATGCCAAAAAGAGTGGTCTTAAAACAGCAATTATTGCTCATGATTCTGTGGGTCAGAGATTTGGGCCTCGTTCACCTGAAAGATTCTCAGGGAGCTACAGTTATCTGATGGCTTGACTGGGGCTGAATGGTCTAAGATGGTCTCATTCACCTGGTTTGGCATTTGGTGCTGCTGTTGGCTGGGCCATATGTCTTCAGCGGACTAGCCCGAACTTCTTCACATGTAGCAGCATTTCAGAAGGACAAGTCTCAAAGTGCAAACACTTTTGAGGCATCTATGTCTTCTGATGTTCCATTGGCCAAAGCAAGTCACATGGAAAATTGTTGACTCATTGTAGGAGAGGGCTACACAAGGATAAGGAAACAGAGAGGCATGATTCCCTGGGAACCTAGTGCTATAATCATCTGCCACAACCTGTCATCAGCATAGTTTCTTCTTGAAATGGTACTAGCACTGGCATCCACTTCACCTAAAAGCTGAATCAAGATGTATAGGTATGAATTAAAAAGAAAATGTGGGATAGCAATTTGGAAAATGATAACATCTGCTGTGTAAAGATGGCTGCCTGTCATGGAGGTTAGTAGTAGTATAACAACGTAAACTCAAAGAAATGTTAATAGATTTTGACCTCTATTAAGAATGGTCAGATTGTTCAATGTTTGATGATACTAAGAAATTATTTTAAGCAGGACAGTGGTATGTGGTGATGGGTTTTAGAAATCTTTATCTTTTAGGGATATATACTGAAATATTAATGGGTGAAATTATATGATCTGGGATTTATCTCCAAAAAATCTGGCTGGGCTTCCCTGGTGGCGCAGTGGTTGAGAGTCCGCCTGCCGATGCAGGGGACACAGGTTCGTGCCCCGGTCCGGGAAGATCCCACATGCCATGGAGCGGCTGGGCCCGTAAGCCATGGCCGCTGAGCCTGCGCATCCGGAGCCTGTGCTCCGCAACGGGACAGGCCACAAACAGTGAGAGGCCTGCGTACTGCAAAAAAAAAAAAAAAAAAAATCTGGCTGTGGGGTTGGTGGCAGGGAGTAAATGAGGCAAGATTGGCCAGGGTCGATAGTTGTTGAACTGTCATAGGTGATGAGCACAAAAGTCTTTGTATGTGTTTGAAAATTTCCACAAAAATTTAAAAAGAATGTTTAGATCATTCAGTGGCCTCAAAGACTGGTGGAAGTTGTCACAGATGCCACCTTAGTCCACTCCTCACTGCTTTCTTGATAAGATGGGGTGGGATGTGCAAGCAATCAGTGCTGGAGGAGGAACCTGCTTGCTCCTCATCTTGGTTTTACAGACAGTGTTCTACATTTTTTTTTTGCGGTACGTGGGCCTCTCACTGTTGTGGCCTCTCCCGTTGCGGAGCACAGGCTCCGGACGCGCAGGCTCAGCGGCCATGGCTCACGGGCCCAGCCGCTCCGCGGCATGTGGGATCTTCCCGGACCGGGGCACGAACCCGTGTCCCCTGCATCGGCAGGCGGACTCTCAACCACTGCGCCACCAGGGAAGCCCATGTTCTACATTTGACTAAAAGTGTCAGAAGGTATCTGACGAGGGGTCCAGCAAACAAAACACTCCATCATTTGGGTGAGATTAGAGATTGTTCAGGACATGGTTGATCTCACCTTGGGTCCCATGGAGGACACTGAACTTGTAGCTAATTAGATCTGACACCACAGATTCTGAATAAGTCTCTTGATAAGTGCTGTTCTCTCCAGGTGTTTTCCAGCCCTTAGTGGACTTGGCTCTAATCCATAGTGCTCCCTAGTATCTGAAGAAAGTGCGTCTCTCTTCCTATCATCAGTGGACACTGGTGATTCTAAAATTCTTCTTGTAAAAACAAAACCAGGAGTGAAGACCAGCCCCAAATTTCATGTTACAGCATTCCTGACTGCCAAGCTCGAGACTGCCATTGGATCTCCTGGGATTCTGAGCCCCATTTACCCTCCGCCCCCATGCACCCTTTTCTTTGTTTAAGGGGATGGATGTTTTGTTGAGGATCTGAACTTTAGACAGCCCTCATTGAATTCCCTTTTATGGTGTCATTTTGATAATCTTTCAAAACTTTTCATGTAAACCTTCTGATTGTCTCCATCTTCCTTGACAAAAGGCAGTTAAAGTAGATTTCACTTTCTGCACACTCCGTGTACTTCTCTGAAAGGCACTGTGAGTGGAATGCTATTTGATCCTTGCATCTCTGAGGTTAGGCAAGAAATTAGAAATATCTGAACTCTACTTTATCCCCTAATCTTATCATTCCAAATGTGTGCTTAATTAGAAGCAGAATCAATACTTCAGGTCAGAATAAGTTCAAATGGTCTAGAATTTGTACATCTAAAAATGAAGAAAAAATAATTGGCTAGTAATATTTTAAAATACTCTCCTTGGTTAGGTGTATAATCATTCTCAAACTTTCCCCAGAGAATGCCATTTAAAGTGCTAAAGTTGAGATGATAAAAGTGGTTAACCAAATACATAACTTCTTTCTTAGTTCTTGCAGTTATACCACAGACCCCCCTGCGCTGCACCCCCCTCCCCCAGGAAACAGACTTTCCAGTGAGATTTTGTAACAATAGAGCTTTTTCTGAACTCTTATCAATTCTTACCTCAAATCTCCCCAAATTATGTCTGACTTGTAAATTCTAAGGGAACAGAATAGTCAAAATATTATTAAATTGTCTTCATCTATCTGGGAGTTTGTTATAGAACGTATCTGGCATGTAGATAGAAGGGTTTTCACTAAATCAGTCTCACCCAAAAGCTAGAACTGGAGGAAACTGGAGATGGAGCAGATCAAGGGAGGCTGCACTCCTGAGAAACAGGCCGTGCATCTCAGGTGTCCATCCTCGTGAACAGGATGAGAGTGGCCAGTCTGGCCCTGACTAAGCCAGGCTCACCTTGCTATGTGAACACAGTTGGCATCAATGCTTTGGACAGAGGAGACCACTGATTTTGCAGTAGCCAGGTTTTATGTAGACAGGTGATTGATGTCAAAGCCAAACAGCATGGTTAGCCATCTGGGTCTTTATATTACTTCTCCATTCTCTCACTTGTCAGGACCACGTTGTGAAATGTGACCAAGAGCACACACAAGGCTGGAAAATATGCACCGTTGGGGTCGGGGGACCATGTGGGTCCTTGGGTGCCAAATCAGAGAGACTGCTGGACTCGCTTTGGCCTGGCCCACCTGGTGTGCGAGGTGGCCTGACCTGCTAGTTCTGTGTGATGGAGGAATTTGTGGGCATCCTAGGCCCCTTCATCCGAGGGCCTATGTTGGGGAAGAATGGTCATATTCATTGAGTACTCGCCACAGGGAAAGCCCTACCCTAGCTGCTTAATATATGTTAGATAAGTTTTCTTACCAAAAACCTGAAAATGCAATCCTCTTAGCCTCATTTGCCGAGAGAGAGGCTCTCAGGCAAGCAGTTTGCTGCAGGTCACCCTTCATCCACTAGTGGCACAGGCAGCCACACAGAGGTCTAGTCAACGATAACTTGTGCTCGTCTGACCGTGTAGTTTTTGAGAAGGTAGGTATAAAAATAATTAAAGAAGCTGGAGATACAGATAGGTGTAACCCATGGTTGAGAAGAGTGAGCTCCGATAAAGAGGAGCGTATGCATAGAGATGGTGGGTGTTAATGTGAGCTGAGAGAGCCGTGGAGTAGGGTCCAGGATAGAGCAGATAGGAGAGGGCCGAGCTGGACCTTTGGACACGGTACCACCCAACTAGGAGCAGGGCTCCTAGTGTAAGTGCTTTTAAGAGGAAACTTTTTAAAAAAACGGAATTCCAGAGGTCCAGTGTATTTCTGGTCTATATTTTTGCGACCGCAAGTACAAGCAGGCTCCTGAGACCAGGCTGCAGAGGGTTCCCTGAGAGCCGCGGTGCGCGGGGATCTAAAGTCAGGCCTCTCAAAAGACCTGCAGGTGAGGCCGTTCGGCTCACCTAGTTTGCGGCTCTCGCCTTTCTCCTTGCTGTGCTCTTCTGAACAGCCTAGCTGGGAAGGCGAGCTCCGAAACTGTCAGGAGCTCCAGGGCTTCCGGCTGCCGCTGGGCGTCAGGAGAGACTCCGCCTCCTGGACCAGAGAAGAGCAAAGGCGGTGGGGGCGGGGCGGGGCGGGGGGGGCGCGCATGAGAGAGGACCTCGGAAAGGGCAGTGCTGGGCCGCAGAGTGAAGAGCCCATCTAATTACAAAATATTTCTCAGGTCTCCTCGTGACATCAGTTGACCTTTTTGTATCCGTTTGGGAAAATCACACAGTGGCGAGCATCTTTTGGTTTGCAGGTGGCGCTTTAGGATGCGTGCGGTTGTGATGACCTTGTGCAGAAGCCACAGCCACAGGATGGGAAGAGACGGCGTAGAGTGCTCATTGGGGTGCGACTGTGAAAGGCTGTCAGGTCTGAGCTCGCGCTGGGCGCTCTCTGCTTTTCCAGGTGGCACTCAGGCTCGAGGATGGCGACGAGACGGCTGAACCACCCCCCAGCGGGTGCCGGGACCGGAGGAGGGCCAGTGTGTGTTCCGGCACGGGCAGCGAGCACCAGGGCCTGGACCGCAGGCGGAGCCGCAGGCACTCGGTGCAGAACATTAAGAGTCCTCTGTCGCCTCCGTCCAGCCCCTGCTCCCCGTCGGTTCCCGACTTCAAGGCCAGTCAAGTGCGAGATCTCCGTGAAAAGTAAGTATTAACCCAGCCGCGGAGAGGGGCGCAAGGATGCCGGAAAGAGGGAGGGAGGCCACAACCCCACCGGTGCCCTTGACCATCCCCGCCTCTCCTGCTCCCTGCCTCTTCTCTACCATTAAACCATCACCCCTAATTCCCCCGGAACTTCCCAGGGGCGAGGTGGCCCTGGTGACATGCGTAGACTTGGTCTTACTAACGCCGTGAACTCATCTTCACCCACTTGTGTTTTCATATTATTTAGCATCTCAGTTAATATCTGTGTAGAAATGCTGTGCTTTATCAACTAGAAAAGAATCCAAAACACAACACTTTGGCCTAGAAATAAATGGTATGCCACCACACGAATGCGAGATCGATAGAGTCTGAGGTACTCATGATAATACATGGTTGAGGTTGAGTTAAATAGAAGAGATATGTGCTTTCATATAACTTCAGTAAATACTGATGCCATCATTCATTCAGTCAGTCATGCAGCATACTTTTTTATTAAGTGTCTGTTATACGCCAGGACTCTTTGAAACCGTGAAGACATATAAATAGAAAAGGTCTGATCTCCATTCCTGTGAACCTCCCATCTGGGCAGGGAGAAGGTAAGAATGAAGACAAGGACATAAAAGGAAATAGACTGACAATCCCATGAGAAATTATGTATGTCCAAAATATAAAATTTGACAAAATCTATAGGAGCTCAGAAGTGGTTCCATAAAACAGAGGTGCAGCAGAAGGATGGCCATGCTGCTCTGGGGCCTGGGTCCAGTTATATCTTCCCAAATGGATGCTCTCAGTTCACTAGGATGGTGGGACTCTGTGGACCAGTCCATGCCAGCCAACTCCACTGAGGCTGACAGATACACTGGTTGCCAGTGCACCTCTTCCTGCTGCTGGTGGAAACCCTGCTCACATCACTTGACTGAAGCATTTTCCCCCCATCATGGAGATCCACCTGGGAGCCAGGTGTAGGTCAGGAGGCTGCTTGGTGTAGAAGAATATAACTCAGAATAAGTGGTGTGACCTTAAGATAGTGAGGTCTGTCACTATCCACATATGTCCCTTCCGCTCTATCCCTAAGGGGACACGCACCCCATCCCCACCACTACCAAGAAGTGACTTGAGCAGTCTGGTACTCATGGGATCACTGGAACATGAACCGGTCCAGGCCTTTGGGTGCCCCCTATTACAGAAGGAGAAGGAGGACATCGGTCTGCGAGTGATGTGCAAGGCATGGTCCATGTTGACACCCTTCTCCATCACCTAGCCCTCCATCTACAGGTTTTTCTGTCTCTAAGAGTCTGTGTATAGCAATCTCTATTTTAGTGAAAAGAAGACCAAAACTTCTGAACGGACTGAGGAATGAGAACCTCTACTATGAACATTGTACTTTGTCATCTAAGATCTTCAAGAAACTCAGGCAGTGCTCAGAGGGCCCTGGAAGCTCTCTGTAGTGCTGCCTCTGGCTAATAGCTTGAGAAATTAACGTGGAGAGAGTTAAGGAAAGTGTACACAGTGGGCTGAAAAATCGGTTTAAAACCACCAAAGAGGCTGAAGGTAGGAGTTAGGAGGCCTTGTTAGCAGCATTTGGTGTTCTTTTGCTCTGTCTGACTTGTGTCATGTTTGTTTCTGTTCTGTTTCTTGTTTTTACACTTTTCAAAGGTCCCTGTGTTGTGAGTTCAGGTGACCACACCTTGTGATACGTTGGCACAGGTAACAGCAGTGGAGTGGACCTTCCTGGGCACAGTTTTGAGCCTCTGGGCTTGGTGGGATCTGGAACAGGAGGCCACAGATGTTCCTCTGAATGTTCCTGCCTCAGTGTTTTCAAATAGGACTGATTTTTCATTTTAATGAAATTATTACTTTAATGTAAATTTCATAGCATTTGTTTAAGAAAACTACACTTTCCAGCTTACCAAGAAAGGTAAAGGTTTTCAGATTGATGATTATGAAGTGGCTTCATCCATGAAGCCTGTCGGAGGGATTTTGCCCTGTGGCCCCAAGATGACACCGTAATTTTGGCAGAAGTGGGAGTAGGAGAGAGGGAAAGTGTGACGCTAAGCAAATTGGGAAGCAATCCCTGCATGCATAGCTTAGTCACCTGCTCCGCATCTGTGCCTCAAAACATTACCTTAGAATCGAGAAGTTCATTGTGCTCTATTCCCTGTAGACCTTGAAAGACACAGACGCATGCCTGACCTAGATTACTCTTCATCTATGCGAACGTTCCGGCCCTGCTTACCGCTAACTTGTAGCAACGTGCCTGCCTACGTCACATATGAAGAATTTTAGGCTGAATTGTATTACTCTGTGTCCCAACTAATGCCAGTACTTCTGAAAAGAAGGTAGAGCTATGTTACAGGTTAGAGATTCATGTTGTCCTAAACTGTATCTGGCGCTCTCCACTTAGGTGGTTCTTCTCTGTCACTTGAATTGGATTCTCATGATGGTCCTCTGTAGGATCCAGGCAGGACAAGTATCATTACCCTCACATTACAGATGAGAAAACAGTCAGGGGCTTGGTGCCTTGTGACGAATCTCAGGACTCGGGAGCTAAGCCCTGGGCTCAACCTGAGTCTTTGGCCTTTGCCGCTCAATGTCCGAATCGTATAGAACCACTTGCCACCCTCCCGTTCCTAAACATAGTCATTGAGGGAGACTTGTCCTTCTGACTTTGTAGACAGGGAATTTGTTTACATACCATGTATGTGTGTTTTTATTCAGGTTAATATAAAAATCAAGGAGAGTCGAACAGGAGAAAATCCCCCAGTCTTCTTACAGACTTAGGCCGGCTAGGCTGTGTGCTTTAATAAGGACGAGTAAGCCTCAAAACTCACATTGCTCTTCTGAAGAAATAGAAGTCCACAGTGAGCATTTACCAAATAAGGTGTGAGTTTATCGGTCGTCCGCCACCTAAAAGTACCTCTTGTGACTGTGTGTGCCATAGTGAGTTTCACCTTTGCAATTAAATTTACAGATCTGATTGGAAGAAAAATGTTGGTGCTTTCATTGTTTTACCAAGAAAGTTATTTTTAGCATCTAATCATCAAAAGAGCCAGTGTCTCTGCTTTAAATTGTAAGAGTATATACTGTTAGGACTAAAAAGTCTCCAGGGTTGTCAAGCCCAGACCAGAAGCCCTTTCCGTGTACTCAGCCTCGGACATTCTCCTCCCTGAGGCACCCATTCTATCCTTGGACTTCCTAGCTTGTTAGTAAAGTCACCTGGTCTAAATTTGCTCTATGATGTGGTAGCCCTGTTGGTGCTTAGCCTTTCACTATATGGATAGAATTTCCCTATAATGTTTCCCTATTCATCCTGGTTCTTACCTCTGTCAACACACACTGGGTCTTCTTCCTGCTCTGTATATCCATCTTTCTGACAATGAACTTGGCATGGGACTTAATATAATATATAAAGTTTAATTTCATCCTGTTGAGTTCCACACAACATTCTAGCCCGCAGAGGTAATTCTGAACTTCATTTAGTCGTTCATGTCAGCAGTTGTGCCATCCAGCTTTCAGTCATGTGTATATTTTAACACACACGGAAGAGCGACCTGGCGGGTAGTGGATGGTGACAACAGCTGGGAAGTAGATGGTACAGACGACTCCCACATTCCTCAAAGTCAAGGGTTGGAAATATTCTCTGTCAAGGGCCAGGTAATAAATATGTTAAGCTTTGCAGCCCAGACAGTCTTTGTTGCAACTGTGGCTGCTTTTGCAGCCATAGAAAACAGGCTAGAGAATGAGTGTGGCTGCCTTCCACTGAGACTTTATTTATGGACACTGAGACTTGAGTTTTACATGTCATGAAATATTCTTTAGATTTTTTTCCCCCAACCATTAAAAAAAATGTGAAAATCATTCTTAGCTGACAGACTGTACCAAAGCAGGTGGTGGGCCACGTTGGGCCCACAGGCTTGCCAACCCATATTCTAAGGGGCTGCGTTTCTTGAGGGAAGTTGCAGGGGAAGTGGTTTGGAGTTGGCAAAGAGGAGTATGTGGGTAAGAGAGAAGAACCCGTCACGCCATATGCGAAGTCTGTTAGGGAACAGCATCCTTAAGTCCAGGGTTAGAGCAAGGAATATTCCATGAAGGTTTGGAGGCTGTTTGCTGATGGCTGCTCATGCGTTCCCAGTGGGAGGCTGAGGGGGTTGGAGAGGGTGGAGAAGAGTCAGACTAGGGGGACATACAGAGCCAGTGAGGGGGAGGGCGTGTGGCAATGAGCCCAGAAAAGGATGTGCTGCTCAGGGATGTAGAGGCAGGCTGGGACCAGTCTCAGTGGCCCCGAAAGGCAGTGGTCTTCAACCGGAAGTGATTTTGTCCCTAGGGGACACTGAGCAATGCCTTGGCACTTTTTGGGTTATCATAGCTGGGGTGGGGAGTGCTGTTGGCATCGGTGGGTGAGTCTAGGGACGCTGCTAAACATTCTACAGTGCAAGGACAGCCTCCCGCAATGAAGAATTATCTGTTCCAAAATGTCAACCCTGCCTTAGGGGAAGGCACGTAATTGGTTGTGGTTTTCACCTCCTTGGGACGTTGCTGAGGCAGGGAGTCTTTCGACTGTTGGAAGCAGGGTAGCTTTCTTGAACTTTGTGGACCTATCTTAAATGCTCATGTGCGTGGGTCAAAACTGACTTTTTTTTCCAGAGAATATAATTCTTCAATTTGGGGGCTACTGTATAGATAGTACAGTAGAGTCCCTTTTTTGTTTTGTTCTGGTTGGGTTTTAACTCCATTTAGCAAAGTTTTCTACTTCACATTCTCAGGGAATATGCTAAGTCCTCTTTGAGAACCAGAAGTTTGACTAAATCTCATGATTTTCTCAGTAGCTGAAGTGCCCAGCGTAACCAATTGTAATCAGCTTCACACCTGTCACATTCCAGAAATACTGACGTAGTGGAATGTGACACCAGCATACAACAAAATGGCAAGACAGAAAAATGATGATATGACAGAAGGTGTGGTCTTCTGCAGCCAGGCTCTGGAACCTGGTTGGAGGAAGA